TGGTGTCATGATTTATATTTAAGTCTTTTATCCACCTTGAATTTATTTTTGTGTATGGTGTAAGTTGGTGATCAAGTTTAATTTTTTTGTGTGTAGCTGTCCAGATCTCCCAACATTTGTTGAAGATGCTATTTTTATCCCATTTTATACTCCTGCCCTCTTTGTTGAATATTAATTGACCATAGAGACGGGTTAATTTCTGGGCACTCTCTTCTATTCCATTTGTCTATGTGTCTATTCTTATGCCAATACAAGACTGTTTAGATTACAGTGGCCTTGTTGTGTAGTTTGATATCAGGAACTGTGATCTCTTCTATTTTGTTCTTCTTTCTCAAAATTGCTCAGGCTATTCAGAATCATTCATATGAATTTTTGAAATGTTTTTTTCTATATCTGTGAAATATGTCATTGGTATTTTAATAAGAATTGTATTGAATCTATAAATTATTTTGGGGAGTATGGATATTTTGATGATGTTAATTCTTCCAATACATGAACACAGTATATGCTTCCATTTATTTGTGTCTTCCTTAATTTCTTCCTTCAGAATTTAGTAGTTTTCTGAGTCTCTTACTGCCTTGGTTAGGTTTCTTCCTAGGTACTTTATTTTTCTTGTTGTTATAGCAAATGGAATTTTTTCCCTGAATTCTGTTTCTGATATTTTACTGTTGGTGTACAGGAATGCCTTTGATTTCTGAATATTGATGTTGTATCCTGCTACTTTGCAAAATTCACTAATCAGATTGAGTAGATTTTTTGGTGTAGTCTATAGGGTTTTCTGTGTACACTATCATGCCATCTGAAAACAAGGAGAGTTTTACTTCCTCCTTTCCAATTTGGATGCCTTTTATTTCTTTTTCTTCTCTGATTGCTATGGCTAGGACTTCCAGTATATGTTGAATAGAAGTGGTAAAAGCAGACATTCTTGTCTTGTTACTGATTTTAGTGAGAAAGTTTTTAGTTTTTTCCCATTGAATATGATTCTGGATGTAGGTTTATCATATATGCCCTTTATTATATTGAGGTATACTCCCTCTACTCCCATTTTGCTGAGTGTTTTTATCATAAATGTGTAAGCATTATCAAATGCTTTTTCTGCATCTATTGATATGACTGTGATTTTTGTCTTTCCATTTGTTTATGTGATGTATTACATTGATTGATTTGCAAATATTGTACCACCCTTGCCCCCTGGGATGAATCTCCCTTGATCATGGTATTTGACCTTTTTATGTATTTCTGGATGTGATTTGCCAATATTTTTGAGGATTTTACCATCTATGTTGATCAGCAATATTGGCCTGTAGTTTTCATTCTTTCTTGTGTCTTTGTCTGGTTTGGAGATTAGGATGATGCTGGCTTAAAAAAAAAAATTAGGAGTGTTCCCTCTTCTTGGATTTTTTGGTATAGTCTGAGAAGAATAGGGATTAGCTCTTCATAAAATGCTTTGTAAAATTCTGTTGTGAAACCATCCTGTCCAGGGCTTTTGGGTGTGGGAGTTTTTGATTACTGCTTCAATTTCATCAGCTGTTATTGTTCTCTTCAGGCTTGCTGCTTCTTCTTGATTCAGTTTTGAAAGATTATATTTTTGTAAAATTTTGTCCATTTCATCCAAATTTTCAAATTTCTTGGCATATAGTTGTTCATAGTAATTTTTTACAATCCTTTGTATACCTGTAATATTACTTGTAATTTCTCCTCTTTGACCTGATTTTATTTATTTGTGTCCTCTCCCCTTTTTTCCTGGTGAATCTGGTGAAAGCCTTGTCAATTTTATCCTTTCAAAGAACCAGCTCCTGGATTTATTGGTCCTTTGAAAGATAAATACTACTCTTCAAGCATATGTCTATGAGTTGCTTAGGGAAGGATATTATCAGTCTTTCAGAATTATTTAGTAATAACTGCATATGGTTTGCACCAGGCTCAGTAGAATCCAGGAGTAGGGGACTGAAATGAGGGTGGTTTTCAATAATCATTAGGGCTGCTCATATGGATAAAATATGCCTGGAAGACTATTGTAAGAGATCCTCACAATAAGCAGTTTTAAGCTTTCTGGAAGGAGGTGCTTTGCAGGCCCTCTATTCATGGTTTAAGACATGGGGATAAAGCTTACCCTGTGCTACCAAGCAGTGCAAGGACAAATAAGTTTGCTCCTGAGCTCTCAACACCTCTTTTAACACATATACCTGTCCTGATGTTGCTGGGCCTCATTCATTGTTCATAATAGAGCTGTTCTGTAAGTATAAATGGTTCAAACCCTGTGAATCCTTTCAGCAATCAAACACTTAAGGCAATGATTGTATAACTAACACAGGCTGCACAAAACTGTACCTCTGAATAATATACAGAGAAGAGAAGAAAACAGGAATTAAGCTGCAAGTTTTCTCCCATATCTTGCTTCTTATTTTTCATATTTCACCCCAACAAGACTAAATTCATGCAGCTCACAATAGTATTATCCAGCCACGCCACAGCTACTGAGGAATCCAGGTCCTATGCCTTATTACTGAAAGACATTCAAGTCCAAAGGTGAAGAGGTTATGCTGCTTTGGTGAGGCCCCTCCATAGGGAAGAAAAAGCAGGTGGGCTAGATACTGGAGAAAAAACACATGATTTTAAATTTAATATACTTTAGGTGGCTCCATCCTGCAGAGACCCTCCTGGCAGCCACAGATGATCGAGACATGATCTTTTTGGGGAGGAAAGGTGGCTAAACTCTCAGAGGAGAAGGGCCTTGAGTCTGTTTCTCAATGGTCTTTTATTGGGTTTAATTTGCATAGGAATACAGGGTGTATTCATACAGTTCATCAATCATTGCCAGGCAGTAATGATCAAACAAAAGATAACACTCAAACAACTATGAGGGCTTATTCTGAGTCAGGGTCAAATAGATAGAGTGAAGCCAAAGGGCCCTAAAACATTGGGGAACAAACTCATTTTATGCTTGGACCCTTATCATTTAAACTGAGGGTATTCTTAGCAAAGCAAATTTTACAGGATTTTATGCATTCTTTCTTAGACCTGATTGCCCCTGGAGACCACCAGTTCCAGCACAATGCCACACCTGCCTCCTGCATTGTTTCAGGCTTAAAATCAGGTGGGAAATGCAGGCAGCCAAGAGATTAGGACATTTTTTACAGATAGAATGAGGACTCAGGCTGTGACAAAGCCAAAGGGTGAAGGTCCATCAACCCTTTTCTATAGTCCCCAAAGTCCTTCCCTGATGGCCCTGCCCAACCTTGCCTGTCTTAGGTGGTCCTTCCCTTGAGGAATCTTACCCATCATTGGCTAACTAGTTATCTGCCTGAGCTCAAGCAGGGTGAAGTAAAAGGGGTAGAGGCTGCACCCCTGTTGGGAGGATAAGCTTTGTGTCCTTTGTGGTTTACTCAGGCTTAACCATGTGGGGTTACAGCTTTTGAAACCAGGCAGGGCGGTTCCCAACAATATACATTAAAATGTTTAAAGCCACAAACATGCACTTAGTAAAACTCACATATCAAAGTGAATCATTACAAAGCATCCATCATCCAGGTTAATGGAAAATAATATCACTAGTACCTGAGGGCACCCTGATGTTCCCTAGCAAGATCCATCTCCCCTCAGATAACTACTAGTCTAACTTGTTTCACCATAAATTATTTTTATAGATTCTAAAAGTTATTTATTGGGTTGTAAGCCCTGTTCTATTTTGTTTCTGGCTACTGCCACTCAATAGTATTTATATGGAATCATCCACGTTGGTTTGTGTGGCAGTCACTCATTCACATCAATGACAGTATAATATTCCATTTGATTGTATATTACAATTTATGTATAAAAATACCGTTGATTCATGTTACTATTGATTTCATATAAGATCTTCAGAATAATGCCACTAATAACATTGGGTACATTTGTATAGTGCATCTATATTCCTCTTTGCCACATACTTGAGTGAAACCCCTAGTCATGAGATATGCTCTATCTTTGACAGAGACGACACTTATTTCCAAGGTGCTTGTATCAGTTTGTATTGCTTAACATTTCTTTTGCTTGTTTTTGCAAACACTTGGTATGGAATATTTTTTTTATTTTAGTCATTCTGATGGTTGTTTCATGATATTATATGGCAGCTTTCATTTGTATTATTCTGAGGACTAATGTTGTTGAGTAACTTTTCACATGATTATTGGCCATTAAGATATCCTCTTTTAGTGAAATGCCCATTCAAGTCTATTGCGTACATAGTATTGTACCAGTTACCTTTCTCACTGAAGTATGCTCAGTTAAATTTTAGGAAGTTAGAGACTGGATCCAGATGAAGAGTTATGCTTGGCCAGGCCAGATTTGAGATATTAAATAGGTACTCAGGTATGAAGGCTAAAAAGGCAAATGGAACATATGACTTTGGAGATGAAACTAGAAATAAATTTGAAGATTTACATTTAGATGCTCATAGACTGTGGATGAACTTAAAGCCATTGAATAAATTAACAACAAACTGAGTAAAGCTGACCCCTAGGGTACTACAACTCTGAAAGTCTTGGAAAAGGAAATATCAGAAGGAGACTCACAAAGATGTCACTAGTGGGTAAAGAGAGAAACCAAGGGCATAACAGGTTTAGGGTTTCAAATGAAGAGATGTATGTTTCAAACTGGAAAGATGATCAACTCTCCCAGATAGCACTGAGAGGAAGGGTAACATGAACACAATATAGCAAGGTGAAAGTTGTTGGTGACCTTGAAAAAAGTGGTTTATTTATTCAAGGAACAAAAGCTTCCTGGAGACAGGTTGATGAGAGAACAACATGTAAGATAATTGAAGAGGATGTAAGGATACTTCCATGACAATTGCCATAGATTAACCTGAACAACAGAGAGGAATTTGGAGTCTACTATTAAGACCAAATTTTTTTCATTAAAGATAGAAGATATGATAGCATAAGTTTGATTTGCACTTGATCCTGATGTGAGGAAAACATTGAGGTTTCAGGAAAGATGGAATAATTGCTAGAGATGAATCATTGTGTAAACTCAGGTGGATCAACTTCAATGCTGTTAGCCTTTGGTTTGGGAGCATTACTGGCTAAAGGCAAGGATCCCAGCTCATTCTGACTGTGGTACTGGCTCTTGATGCTCTGATAGAAGCTATCAGTAATACAGAGCAACAGAACACTTACCATTCACTGTGCAGTGCACGAATCACATTAAAACTTCAATAAACTGTGTGCATTGGCTGTCGTATGGATGTGCACATTGAAACTCCAAAAATCAAGTACCTTTTAAAGCACATCTTAGCTGATATGATACAGAACTGTGAATCAGATTTCACAATTGAAACATGTTTTTTTCAGGGTGACCATAAAACCTGACATCTGATGCTGGGTACTTTTGAAGGTGTAATGGCTTAAGTGAAACTGTGGGTATAAACCAAGACTTTCTAGAGCAAAAGCAGCATATGACAATCTTTTCTCTCCACTCTTTGATATCTTTTAATATTCACTTTGAAGCATCCTACTTTAGTTCAAGTCTCTCATGAATATTTTGTGTATTTATTTATATTTTCCCTCACCATTTATGCCCCCTACATCTTCTTCCACCTCCAACCATGCCCCCCTGCCCATCAGTCACTACGCTGTTGTCTGTGTTTTTCCACAGCTACTTTTAACAACAGTGATAATCTCAAGTTAACATTAAACAGCCCAATTAGGTTTCACAAATTGTAATAAGCACAGGAAAATGTAAATATGCATAAAGGATGAATTTATTGAAATGACTGGCTAGGAAATAGTGATAACAAGTAGAATTCCAGAAACTATTTTAGGAGATACTTTTCATATGGTTATGGAACTTCCAACTCAAAAGTGACATTCTGCAGTACTTTTTGAATTAAAATTCAGAAAATAGAGGTTAAGAGTTGAATACAAATTCAGATGAATGTTATATAATACAATAAAGTAAATAAAGAAATACATCTTCATTTTATCCATGTAGAATCATAAGAATTGTTAATTTTCTGATGGAGTGATATGAACATTGAAAACATGTCACAATTCCAGTTGCAGTCAATTCTGGAGAATAAAGAACAAATATAGAATTAGTTGTTCTATTATATAACCATACATCTCTTTACATTTGTAATTTTAGTATGACTAACCAGCTAGAAACATTTTATTACTATGGTACCAACTTGTGCACCATATTACATGGAAAAGTCTCCAAAGACCAAATAACCTCTCACTTGAAACTGTTTTAGTGAAATATCTATTCTACTACAATCACTAAAAATTTTATAGCTTAAGAATCTCAAAGCTATATTCTCTACCCTTTTTAATCCTCACAGTGTAATTCATTTTATTTTGACCCATGAATTAAAAGACAACATGCAAATTTTAAATTCAATAAAAACAATTAAATGCTATGGACTTTAAGGTAGAAATGAGAATGCAAGTTGATTTTTTTAAAAGCTCACACATATTTACATAAAGTAGAAGAAACTGCTTTTAGTTTTTTTCCCTAAAAATGATGATAATCAAGCATAAGGACACAGACACTTAAAGGCAAACCACAAATTTATCAGTAACACTATAAAATTAAAATTATTTAAAATACAAATACATAATTTCAGTTAGTACATAATAGTCAACTAATCAGAGAAATTGATAATTAATAAATAAGTTCATATATTGGTGGAGTTACTTACTACCTGGGCATATTCAGGTCAATGAGATGTAAAAATGTATTACCTATAAACATAATTATTCTAATCTTTAAACTCTCAAAGCTTACCTAAAGTGAGGGGCAAACAACTTTAAAATCCTCTTAAATCTTAAAAAATAAATATATGAACAAACAAACATGAAAATAAACAAGTGATTCCCTTTTTGGCAAAAATACTTTTAAAAATTCTGTGAGCCATGACCATTGTGACTCAGTTCATTGGGTGCCATCCCACAAAGCAAAGGTTCTCTGATCCACTTTCCCATCAGGGCATATGCCTCAGTTGCGGGTTCAGTCCCTAGTAGGAGCATTTACAAGAGGCAACATATTGATGTTTCTCACATCTGTTTCTGTTTCTTTCTTTCTCCCTCTCTTACCCTCTCTCTAAAAAATACAAGTAAAAATAAAATAAAAATTATAAAACTTCTATGAGTGTTGAAATAAGCATCTCAATCATTTGCCTTCCCATGTGGATATAACAAAAATAAGATGTGAGTTAAAGTATATGAAGAATAGATGTGAAAAAAGAGAAATCTTCAAAACTGTAGAAATAATAAGATTTCTTTATTTAACATACAGATTACCAATTTAATTCTGCCTTTAGAAAGTTTCAATCTTCTTTATCTATATTCTCCACAGATCAATAGAATCAGAATCTCTGAAACAACACCTTTCCAATGCTCAGTGTCTTCTATATAGAACCAGAAAAATTGTATTTAAATCTCTGTAAGTAGTCGTAGACATTGGGATTTTGTGGGGAAAAATTTCCTAGGTTATATCTTTGTGTAACTAGTGTTGAGAATCCCTGATTTAAATTTTGTGCATTTAGCTCCATGCATTCTTCACTCGTTCATTTATTGTGTGTTTCTGACTCCTCTAATATCATGTAAACACCATGAATAAGACAGCAGAGTTGGTAAGTTAGGGCTTACTTGTTGCAAGCTGTAAACTGTGGCAATAGGTTGAGTCACAGGGTAGGACCCCTGGGTAGGGTCAATCAGAGGCTCTTGGTAAAGCAGAAGGGCTTGGATGGGCATATCTCTCTGAGGGTAGGTGATCACTTGCTGGGAAAGAGGCAGGGCTTTGGGTTGAGGAAGGGAAAGCAGGGGCTGAGTAGGAAGCATGGGAGTCTGGATAAGAGGCTGGGGCACCTGGTGCATCAAGGGCTGGAGCAGAGGAAGCTGTGGATTTTTGAGATCAGTGAGATTTGGGATTTGGCGTTGAAAAATTGGAACTGCTGGAGATTTAAGAAATGGCATCACATGGCGCTTAGGAAAGATGGTTGCCTTAGAATTGGAACCTTGAATCACTTCAGGCTGAAAGACAGGCAGCACCATAGCAGGCTGAGCAAGAGGCAGGATATTTTGTGGAAGGACAGTGTAGGGGATGGGCTCAGCAAAAGGATAGACAAGAGCCTGTGTCTGGACAGGGGACTGGATTTTCTCCTGGTGTTCATCCTGGAGAAAAGGAGAAAGAATCTTTGAGTCCATGATTCAGCTATCATTCCCATTCTTGATGAATTAAACTCCTCTCTTTTGAACCACCATAACTGACTAAAAGGAAAGTAAGAAAATCTTTTATTTATGCTGGCTAAGACATTATTTGGGGTCACATGAAATACATTCTCATTGAGAGATTTCTCATTAACCTACTTCCTTTACAGGTGAACACAGATCAAACTGAAATCAATGTTTGAGGATTTCAGACTTGTTTCTCCTTTTCCAAGTTGCCTTCAGTAGCTAGGCAACTATTGGCTAGCTGTACAGTTTGGTGTTGAGAGGGCATGGGATTTTCAACATAATGTGATGATAATGGACCAAATCGATTTCATAAGGAAGATTTATTTTAAAAATAATTAGAGAAATGACTTTTAGGTTGCTTTTGTGTGTTTTAATGAAAAGTAAATCTTAATTTGTGGTTTAATTGAAGGATTTACTCTACACCAGCTAACTTTCAGCAATACTTCCCTTGGTAGATGGTAGTTACCATAAGTCTTTAAGAAGCATCAATTGTTACATTTATTTTTATTTAGAAAAATACTTGTTGTAAATTCTAAACAAATCCACTCTACTGATAGGAGAGGGCACTAAAATATTACAATTGGAGAAATATGTTAGCACACGTGTAATTTACTTAAATGAAGAACTTCATGTGGTCTAAGAAAATCTTTCATTTTAGACAAGCTCTGCTACTAAACTCCTGTGTGATGTTGGCACACAATTGTGCACTCAATTGCCCTGTATCTCACTCACTGCTCTCATCTGCATAATGGAAAGTCTTTTAACTGCATGTATTCATACATGTTGCTATAAAACATGTACAATTTTAATGTAAACCATTGAATATTTATTGTGTCAGCTCATCAACCCTAGGGGATTAGGAATATTTTCAGGTTTCAAATGAAGTGATTGAAGTCCAGAGAAACTTGGGGCCAAAGTTACAGAGCTAGTCAGTGATCAAATTAAGATTTGTGCCATATTGCTTTCTTATTCCTTTCATTAGCCTATCTATTTTAGAATAAGGGGAATTAGTTCCCATCCTGGAAATATATATACTCATGCATGTTTATGAAAAACTGATATATCATTAGTAAAGTTAGCAAATTAATCATTACTCTTAAGTGTGTCTATTTTCTGTAAACAGAGCCTAAAATGCATTTATGTCTTCAAAATATATTGACAAATTTCATTTCTTTCACTGATATTTCTTTTATTACAATTCTTTAGACTACCCATGAACACCTCTTAAATATTTAGAATATAAGAATATTGTATCCTATTTTATTAAAATTTTAGAAATGTTATGAACAAATTACCTGTCTTTGCTGCTCTTTGTCATTTTCAGACTTCTCAGATTTCTGCTAGAAAACAAACCACATGAAAAGAAATGGTATAATCTGTAAAAACTGAATGTAGGAAATTATGAAAATAGGTACTTTGAAATAGAAGGATTTAACCCCCTAATGTGGGATATCAAACTAAAACTTACAGACCCATAACAGAATGGCCATTCCCAGAGGGCAGGGCATTGATGGGATAGTAGAAAGTACAGGGGGCCAAGTATATGGTGGTGGAAAAAAATTTGAATTTGGGTGATGGGCACACAATGCAATGTACCGATCATGTATCACAAAAATGTACACGTGAAACCCATATGATCTTATTAACCAATATCACCTCAATGAATTTACTATAAATAAATAAATAGGTCTACTTTGTTGATGTGTGTAATGGATTCCTTCAGGAAGATAAAAATAAAATTAGGTTACATTTTTACAAATTTTTAATTGCCCATATAAATCAGAAAATAAGGTGTTTAATAGGTTAATGTGGACTCCTTGCTAGACAACATCATTAAAAACTCAGGATACTTACTAAACTTATATGTTTATTTTTCTACAGAAGACAGTTGTATAAAAGACAAATGCAGTAGAGAAAAATCAAGTATTGGTTTGCAAACCAATGTCACCACAATAAATTCAATTATTTAAAAAAAATACAGAAAAGGAACATAGAATTGTGATCATAGAATCATAGAACATGGAAAAGAACAAATAACATAGAAAAGAATTAGTGAACATAGTACAAAAAGAGGCATTTAATAGGTGAATTAGTGAACATAGTACAAAAAGAGGCATTTAATAGGTGCTGCTTTTCTCTTGCACTATGTTCCCACCTGTGACAACAAATAATCTCTAATATACTGTCGCATTCTACAAGAATGTAATTCATTAATCAACAATTATAATAACCCTTGATACATTCTGTGAATCATTCTTAGTTTATTTGTTATGTAAGAACTGAATACTTTGCCCAAGAATCTGATAACGTTTGTGGTCAAGTTTACCCATGTACCCTTTAGCAGGTGTTGACAGACCCCAAAAGTGGTGCAAGCATGAATACCTACCTGACTCTCACAGGCACATTTTAAGACTGAAACCAAGACTCACTGCCTCTTATTCACTAAAGTGACTACTGAAATTACAAAAATGTCCATTTGCATGTCCACCCACCTCCTATAATGCCATTCTTTCCCATGGGCAGCCTCTTTTCAGTTTGTACCTTGGCTCCTTGTCAACATTTGATCCACAGAAGGTGACCCATAAATGTCAACACAGTGAGTGAGGTCACCATGGAGAGAGCTCAAGAAAGATAAAAAGACTGTACAGTCCATTTAAGGAAGGGGGTGCGCCACAGTGATGCAATTTCAATTAGCAAGCCAGCACAGAAAATGCTTGAATACTGAATTCTGCTGACATTTATTTTGCCCTTAAACATATATAATGGAAATTTACATCAGAACTTATATATCAGAACTAGTGCATTGATTAAATGCCCTAAGTATCACAATATAAAGAGTCCACAGCATTTTACTGTGCCAAAACTGGGAATTGCCTCAGAGTGAACATTATCTTACCTCTGTGTTTGAAAGGCTTTCTACAGTCTATAAAGAAAAACAAAAGCAAAATCAACAACGGGATCACCAAAGAAAGTTACAGTTTCTTTGGTGCAATTTTTTATGGTGCAATTTTATGGTGCAATTTTTCTCTGAATAAAAGATATCTTACCACACTGGATACACGGAGTTCTTCCTTGTGGGGGAAAAAAGAAAAGGAAACACCATTTACTTTCCATAACTAACTCATTTTTCCTACTTACTTTTCACCTTCATTATGAAGAACTACCTCTTTCACAAATTTAAGAAATAAAAATATTGTTGGTCTTCTGGGAACATTGAAAGGTAATTGTGGTTTATGTCTTTTATATTTGGTTATTCTCAATGGTATATT